AAAAAAGCCGGCCGGCCGGGTCTATTTAAAAGTTTCATGTTATGAAAACCAAGTAATTAAATTTGTATGGCCTTATAAAAAAGTTTTTTTCATTTAAAAAATTTTTTTTTACAAACTATATTACGAGTTTATTAGCTAACTTATTGTGTTTATTTGAGTTTTATTATTATACTTTTTATATTAAATGTTTTTTTGTATGCGTATTATGTTAAACTTTGGCAAGTTGTCATCATACTGACCTGTAAAAATTTGAAATATATAATTTATAAACATTATAAAAAATATTCTTTTGAATTCAAAATGATAATATTAGAATGTAAGGTTATAAAAAAATGAAGGAAATGTACTTTTTTAAAAATATTAAGAACATTTGATTCGAGTAGAATAATGTTAAAAAATGGTGTTTTCGTTTTATTAAAACTTATAATTTTAGCGTTGTCAGAATTTTTTAATTGCGCAAATTACTTGGGCTGATTAATGCACCACAAACCTGGCACACATTTAAGAATTGCAAGCCACACCTGATCTTGAAATTCGATTAGTCAAAATAATAGGTGAAAGTTTTTTTTTGTAGGTACTGGTGATGGTGACTTAAAATGAAATGAAGGAAAATGATCATGACTTCACTTTTTACATTTTGACTACGAAATGAAAGAGCACACTTTCTGGAACATACTATTAGCAATCACGATACTAATTTAGTTAGATCCGAGTTATACGTAAAATTAATTATAATAGATGTCATTTCGAACTATGCATATTATTTTTAGGTGCTATAATTCTCGAAATAACGTTAGTTTATTTAAATCAATTGATATGTGTAAATAAGTTTTTAAGAAATATGAGGTTCGACTTTATTATAAACTATGTATATTAAACTCCATTACAAGAAATAATATAATGCCTTTTCTAATAGTTTTTCTTTTTATATTAATTCCTTCTTACACATTAAAATAAGACCAGTATTTTCGCAACGTCTCAACTGAGATATCAGATCTTGCTCGTACTTAGATAAGTATTTTATTTTGAGTCAGATTGTCTTTTGTTTAAGAGTGTGATGTACTACAATACAGTATTGGTTAAACTTACTTTCCTTGATATTTAGTATAACGATAAAGTATCCACCTATTTTAGCAGGTAATATAAACTATGACCAATCAGAGAACGTAAATTTTGCTAGCCCAACGTATGAGCAAAAAGAATGTTTAAATCGACCTTGGTGTACTAATTAAAAATGATGAAACCGAAATTTCACATATTTATAATAAGCATTAATCTATCATTATAGCCTTTAATACCAACACTAACCCTAAACTTCTATCACTTAATTTTTTTGTTTACAAAATTAAATTTCCTTTTTGGTTTGTATCAGTTAGCATTAACGGATTTATTGCTATAATACTATTCGTTGAAAGAATAATCAACATAAAATTAATCGAATATTTAAGATTTATGAGGCCCTATAGATTTATTTGGGTTGTTACCAGATGATATCAAAATACTGATGAATTTAAATTTTAGCCTTAAAGTTGTAGGGTGCCAGTGGCGGCCTACTCACACTTGTATTGTATAAAATAAATTAAGTTTTTTCTACAAACTTTAAATAATATTATATTATTTATGACAAAATAGGTAGTCAAAATTATAAATCATTACATACTATATATCAATTATCAGCTATATGATAATTCATACAATTTAAATACTTAAACCAAATATGGGAGAAATAAAAAAAAAAACTTATAAAGAAGATTAGGTAAAATGTAGTATAGCCTAAATTTACAGTAATAATCTAGAATATACCAGATTATATTTCATTGGATCCAAAAAAGTCGATCTTATACAGTAATCGAATACTAAAATTCAATAATAAATATCACCCTTAGCCATACCTTCTTTAATTTGATTTGGGGTTAAACTATTTATAATTCCAATATCACCTTGAAAGACTAAATGTTCACCACTATCAAATTTAATATGTGCTTTCAAACGGTGCACTACCTTGATATGTTGGAGCATTCTTATTATACCAATGTTTGCAGGTGTAAATTTAGTATCATTATTTGAGGGTATATGCATTCCAACTTCAAAAGAGTATTTGTTTCCTGAAGGATGTGGCAAGTTAGAAAGTTTCTTCTTATCAATTATAACGTTAGTAGATTCGAGTTTATGACCAGCTACAATTTCATTATTATTTATATCATATTGTAATTCGAGTAGATTAAGTCTGATTTCTTTAATATTTACTTTGATGTTTTGTTCTGAGGAAGTTAAGTTTATAAACATTGAAATTTTATCTCCCATACACCACCTAATTGAAATTTAAAACAATTGATATCAGAAGAAATTTGCTGTTTAAACAATAAAAAAAAAAAAAAATTAAAAAAATAAAGAAAGATAAATACAAGAATTTTTCTAACTCGCAATTTATTATAATATCACCAACTTTATATTCTACTGTTTTATCATGGTCAGGATGCTTCATCACAATTGGTCGTTCCAAAGCTTCCATTGGTAAACACCATCGATTAATATGACATTTTACTGAAACAATTTTTTCAACATTCTTATTGGATATTATGGTTGCTTTTAGAGTGTAACTTATACTTGCATAAAGGGTACCGTCGACTTCGAATGAGCCTGGAAGATCATCATCGAGTTTAAAGTTAAATGGTAAGGTCAAGTTTGTGGTAGGCTGAAATTCCAAATTTTCCCAAGCATTATAGGTATATTGGCAGAAACCTCGACTAAATTTTCTATGAGATCGGACTGAATATGTACTTTCAATCAAAGCAGATTCTTGGCCAACAAAAGAAATTTCAATTCTCTTTAAATGTAAAGGTTCAGTTGTAGGATAACAAAGATGAAAATTTCCGGTTATGTAAGATGGACCAATACCAAGATAACCTTCAAAAGTAAATAATAATCAAGAAATGATTACATTTTAAGAATAAGGTATTTACATAAACTGTTAGATGTCACTAACCATGTTGAAAAGTGTTGACCTCTTTCGATGAATAAGTGAAAAAAGCACGTTCAGAATATTTTATATATGATGTTTTCGGAGGTCCATTCATAATTTGAGAATTGATAGAAAATATAAAAAATTAAATGATACACATGTATTTATGCCGATTTTTTTTTTTTAAAAAAAAACATCATATATACTTTTTGGCGTCAATGATTACTGCTACACAACAATAAGTGCTAATAAAATATGCTTACTAAAGAATGGCCGCAATATTTGGGTACTAAAAAAAAAAATAATAATACCTAAAATGTTTCAAAGTATTTACGAAAATTGCAGTAATTCAATAGTTTTTGTTACGTATTGATAAATTGCATGATCAATTTAAGCTATCTTATATATGAAAAAAATCGTACGATTAATTTAAGCTATCACTCTTTACATACGTATAATAAAAATCAAAATAATTTTATTATTAAAATCTCTTCGAACTTGTTTCTATTAATATAATCGATGAACTAGCTTCTACAAATTTATCTTTAAACGTGTCAAACCAAAGTGATACGTATTCTAAAACGAAAAAGTGCAGGTCGCTCAAAAGAAAAAATTTGGGATTATTATATAACAAGTAATGATTTTAACGATCATAGTGCGACTTGCTATTATTGTCCAAAGTATTGAAACTATGGACGTCCTGCAGAAATGGAAGCACATCTTGCAAACATTTGTCCTGATGTTCCTAAAGATATAAAAGAACATTGACAAGAGTCACTTTCAAATAAAATTATTAATATGTATAATGCTTTATATTGTACGTACATACGTACATAATTTAAATAAACTTGTACATACTGTACATTATCGGGCTTTGAAAACTACAATAATTATTAAAAATACAAAAATATAATTAATTTTTGTTTTTTTTTGTTTTTTATAATACAAAATTAATTTCACACAAATTGATGTGTACAATGAACTTGTTATACATGAAATATGTTAACGCAAATTCGACTTCTGAATCTAATTTACTTTGAATTAAAATTTGGGATCAAGTTTCCGTATCCGGAAAATATGTATCAAATTGGTGCGACATAGTGGTTAGAAAGTATTCGATTCTTTGATTGTCATAATTTCAAATTTATAACTTTAGATGCTAACACTGATACATAAAATTCTTTTTTGTGCATTACGTAAAAAACATTCAATTTTGATATTGCTTATTAATTGTTTTTATAAGCTAATACCCGATCACTATTCAAGATCACGGGAGTATTTATTACTAAAACTCTAACCCTTGTTTACTTCAAACTATCCCTATTGCTATATTGGATTTAAATGGAAAAATTAACAACTTGTCCATTAACTACGGTGAAATGAAAAATCGTTTTTTATCAGTTATAAACTCTTTTAAAATGCTTAATACTAGCTAACGATTAAATATACAGTATAATGAATTAACTTCACCTACTGTATTCACGTCATATTTACTACAACGAATTGCAGCTATTTTCAAAAAGGTGTAACTAGGCGTAAACCATTATGTCATAGGAAATCCACACGAATTCCTTGAATTCCTTGATTTCCTCGAGCGGAATCAAGGAAATCAAGGAAAGGAAATCAGAGAAATCATGTGGTGTTCCCATGATATAGTGGTTTGCACCTGGTTACAAAATGCCAAAACAACATTGCCAGATCTTCGGAAAATCCAATATCTATTCAGCTACTATGGCACACAAACCTGGTACACATTTTCTGAACGCCAAGTTTACTCAGCATACTACGTACGTATATCAGTTGTGCACATGTCTATCAGTATGAATAAACATCTTTCCATCTGCACCACTGTTTAAAGTACAAAAAAAAATTACTTGCACATTTGCAAATAAAAAATTTTTTATAACTGTACAAATATAGTATTTTCTTTCTTTTTTGAAAAATTTTATTAACATTTCATCATTTGCAAATTCTTTACAGAATATTTAAACATTAAAAAAAAACTTGCACAATGTGTGTTTTGTGTATACCAACCATAAGAAGCTTCATATGATTGGCTGATGTAATCAATTGCCCGGGTAATTTATTTATACAGTTTAAAGTATATTTTTTAAGAACGTAACATTTCACTAACAAAAAATCACTGTAAAAGCCATTTATAACTTACGAAAGAACGTCTATATTAACTATGCAAAAAATAATCAATAACCTCAAGAACTTCACTTAAAAGCAAAGATTTCGTTATTTAATATTGCTATCTCATTATTGTTCATATTAGCTATATACAAGTATTGGATGCAAAAAAAAAAAAACGGTCAAATAAAAAAGGACGGCAGACATTTAACCCAGTGAACATCACAATTAGGGTTGTTAAAACTTACCTGACAACTTACTTTACGTGGTAAGTTACATGTAAGTTACTGTAATTTACAATGTAAATTATTGTAATTTACGTTAAGTCAGGTAAGTTATAATGTAAGTTACAATAACTTACATGTAACTTACATTAATTTAACAACCCTAATCACAATACTGAGTTAGGTTAGGGGCATAATTTAGGCCAGTCTGTTTAAATTTTGGTAAACAAATGACGTCATGATATAATTGTCGATTGCTGGGTTAACTATTCTTCAAGTGTCCATCTTTAGCAAAGGCAGTAATAATTAAAAATAGTATTCTACGGGAGGTGTCACATATTAAAACAGATATAACATATAAAATTTTCAACTTAAAGCTCATTTTGTGAATCTTTTTATTATATAATTAGCTTTCGTAACTTAAGCAAACTTTTTTGTCTATTCAAAAATCAAAAATTTTGAAAATAGGCTGTTTTAATACGTGTCGCCCATGTAATTAATAAAGGATAATGAAGATAGTAAATAAGTTTCGCTGGTAAAGTTTCGTTCGCTTTATAAATTCGTTGATTTGATTGATTAATTATCATGGGTACATAATCACGGATAGATCTATAAAATTAACGACGACGCCAGGGCAGCCCCCTCGAAGTTCGGGTTGATGATCGACATCCTACCTAAGCTGCAGCAGCATTAAGCTATAAAGCGTTCATTTTCTTCATACGTAATCGATATCTATAACTTATATATTTTTATTATTATCGTTATATGATACATATCAGTCGATCGAGATGTCACACCTAATTTTTTATCATATGATTTTCATAAATTACACAAATCGACGAAATCACGTTTTTAAAATTTTCTCCTAAAGTCTTAGTCATAACACATAACGTTCTCTAAGACAAATAAGTTTTTAGGGCTTCATCTAATCGAACGGCATAAAGAATGTGAAAAACTAATGTCACCTGGTAATGTGGGACCTCTTCAAAGAGGAGCAATTATTTTGCCTTCTCTCGCATGATTCTTTTGGAGTTTTTAAGATCTTGACATGGAAAATAGCTCATTAGATGCGCACGAGCAAGAACTTTCAGCAAAATGCATCTTCGAAAGAGTGGTACATTATAAAAGTTCAGAGAAAATCAAGAAAAACTATTTTATAGTATTTAGATTCGAATTTTGTTAATTAGATCTTTATCTTTTTTTAGTACAAAAATATAATGCACTTATAGTAAATACACTCAAGGAAAGTTATTTTGTTTATTAATGTTTTTGGTTTATAAGTTTTATGAATTTTATAGTTTTTAAGAATTTTTTTTGATTTCTTATATTGGCTATAACATGATTTTATATTCATTTCGGCATCCAACATTCATACGGTAAAGTGCATTACACATCGATACTTGGATTTAGAAGATAGAGCTAAGCTGTAAGTTTCAGCTTGTTTAACTTTATATTATATAATTTTGAATAAAGCTTTATATAGGAATTTTAGAAATTTTATTTATTAAATATTAGAATAAATAAGTTTTTTTATTTTTTTTAGAACTGTGTGATGTAAACTATTGCTAAGGGAGATTGTCAATAAAGCATAGCTAGGTTATTAAGTGATTGTATAATGGCGAAGAATCTTTTAATATAATTAAGGAAGTTTTAGCATTCGTGAAATGTAATCGAATTAAAGACATAGATGATTCGAATTTGAGATTAAGTGGGCCGCCACTTATATTGTTTGCACTTGCAATTATGATGTAAATTTTATGGTTAGACATGTTATAAATTTAATAAATTAATTTTATTAAGAAAATAAGTAAATAAAAAATTTTGAATACTCATAAATACAATTAACCCTTTATCAGTATACTCTCTTATAATTGCGCATTTGATCGGTCTAATGTAATTTATAAACATTATTTGGTTAAGGCTAAAACACTATAAGTACATGTTCTACAAGTGTGCTTTTTTCTAATAACGCAATCTATAGAGAGTTAAATATAAAATAACAGGTGTATAAGATTTGTACTTCTAAATTAATGTAAAAAAGCTAAACAAAGATTACTCATGATTATAACCTGCATTTCAATATAAACTAAACTAAAAATAGGTCTAGTCTTAACATTAATATTCTTGTAAGGTTTAAAAGCTTTCGACTCAGTGCAGAAATAAAAGCTTACAAATAACTTAGTTCATCATACACCACCTAATTGAAATTTAAAACAATTGATATCAGAAGAAATTTGCTGTTTAAACAATAAAAAAAAAAAAAA